ATAATAAATATGAATTAGCTCATCTAAGTGGCCTAACAGAAAAATGCTTGGAGTAACATTGGGAAGCACGCACGAGAATTTATGTTTGTGTGAAATCAAAAGGACTATCAGATGTACTGGGGAACTTTGAATAGTAAGTCTTTTTAATCACTTGAATAATTAATTTTTGCCTTTTTAAACTTAATAAATCTGAAAAGTCTATGTCTATACACCAGTGTAACAGTATTCAAGACTAATTGCTTAGTCACCTGCTGCTAACAGGGTAGTCCCATGGATAAGTTACTAGAGTGTGAGGACTAGTTGTTGTTGTTATTATTATTATAATTATTATTTTGCACTGGAAATTGAACTCAGGACCTTCTTGTTGCTAGGCAGGCACTTGTGCTGCTGAGCTATATCCCCCGTCTGAACTCTAATTATTAAACTTTTAGATACCACTGTGACTACTATCACAAAATAACATGTAAGATTTATTTTAATGGGTATTGATGTGTACACTAATGTGTAAGAATCTCCTGGACTCACACACGCACACGCGCGCGCACACACACACACACACACACACACATACATGAACACAAATGAGCAAATAGAACCTTGATTTAAGGTAGAAGATATAATTTAGCATATATAAATATCAATGGATTGATTAATGGAAAATATTCCTTGGTGTTTCATATTCTATTGCAACAATATATAAGATACTTTCAGTAAGTGAAAGAAGAAAATAACATTCACATATTAGCTTGAACAGTTGATACAAATCACAAAACTAGTTGAGATATCATCTCACCCTAGAAAGAATGGCTATCATAAAGAAATCACCCAACAACAAATGTTGGAGAGGCTGTGGGGAAAAAGGAACCCTTCTCCACTGCTGGTGGGAGTGTAGACTGGTGCAACCATTATGGAAATCAGTATGGAGACTCCTTAGAAAAGTTGGTCTGGAAATCCCCTTTAAACCAGCTATTCCTCTCTGGGGAATTTTCCTGGAGGATCTGAAAACATCATATCATAGTATATATGTGTGCCTATGTTTATAGCAGCACAATTTGTGATAGTAAAATCTTGGAAACAACCAAGATGCCCATCACCTGAGGAATGGATGAAAAAGATGTGGTATTTTTATACAATGGAGAATTATTCAGCTATAATGAATGATAAATGTGAAACCTTTATACATAAGTAGGTGCCACTTGAAGATATACTCATAATTGAAATAAACCAGACACACATGTGTAAATATCATATAGTTTCCCTAGCATAAGAACGCAAAAGAAGAAATACAAATAGAAAGGTATAATTTAAGTAAAAGGAAAGCAAGAACTCGAGGACTAACTAATTAAGAGAGGGAAAGGAAAAGAGCTAGGAAGCATGACAGTGACAAGCCATACAGTTATATGTAGAAAATGGGCAAGGCAATGATCCTGAGAACCTTTAGAAGATTTTTGAATCTAGCAGTTAAATGGAAAGATTCTCACCCTGACTAACTATATATATTGACACCTGTAAACTAAGCAACTGCCCTGAAGATGGCAATTTGTAATAGTAGTTTCATGCTTGGAGTGTCTGTCATTGTAGTCTTCTGAATACAGCCTGCTTGCCATGACATGCCAGTTGCTGCTATGATGTCTCTTGGGGAGATAACTGTTCAAAAAGTAGGGGGTGGTGAATGAAGGCAGGAGACAGGAAAAGGAATGTTGTGGGACTGTCCTGCTTCAAGGTTGTATATGCTTAGATTTTTGGACTTATGTGTAAACATAAGATTTATATAATTCTTTATGCCTATTTTTAAAATATATTCTAATTTTTAAATGTTTTTCCATCATATTCTGTAGGGACTTAAAGTTCAACATATCAATACTTGATGAAAAATACCTGTTCCATGTTATGCCTAAAATGTTTGATATTCAGACAGACAGTGAGGTTAAGCTTAACAGCCTACATTGTATGGTAATAGCAATAAGCTAGTCTTCTGGAGGGTTAACAACCTAAGTTTTCAGAACAAAATTAGAGAAAAAGGAGGGCTGCAAGGAAAGCCAACATTTTGGCCCTAGCCTTCCAAGGTCAACTAAGACTCAGGACATGTGAGAACTTGTACTGTAACGTCATGTAACTCGGTAGTGTCCCAAATTTTCTGATCAAGGAGATTATGGGGCCAAAGAGGAAAGTGATCGATGATGTAGAGTGTGCCTAAGAAGAGTCACATGGAGAGAAAACATTCTCTCAGGCTTTCACAGAGAGCACATTGGCCAAACAATGGCTGTGACTAATCCACATGGCTGACACTGACAATGGATCTGCAATCTGAGGTACAGGATCTCAGGATAAATCTTGAGGGGATTTCACTGACCTTAACAGACCCAATAAACTCTTATTGCATAGGTCTTGCTTTATCTTGGTCTTAACCATCCAGCAGAAAAGTATAAAAATGAAATATAAGAAGTAAAGCCATGCTGTTATGTTTAGCAATAGGGGACTCAGGTCAACAATTTCTGACATTGCCAGTGAAGTGGAAGTCTCAATACTATTATGGACTCCTGGACTCTTTTAGAATATTTTGCAGAGTTCACACACCTATAAAATTCAAATAACGGAACTACACAAAAAAATGGAATACAGATGAATGTCCATTTTGTATCTGTGTATTCAAAATGGTTAGAATAGATATATAGTTACCTTCTCTTAATGAATAGAGGGATTTGTTCTAATAGTGTTTGTACATAGGATATCATGTCCTCATCTTGTACAACAATTAACCACTAGTAAGAATGTATGCAATGTGTAAATTATTGGAACTGTCCTACTAATTTGGTTTGAAACTGTCTCATTGCTATTTGTTTCTCAATAAAATTATGGGAAAAAAATCACAAAACTGTAATAATTCTATGCACTATTACATTGTCAGTTTTTCTTCGTTATTTATTGTAGTCCATTCTGGATGTTGTAAGACAGTACTGTATAGTGGAAGCAAGCAACAGAAGTATGTCTCACGGTTGTGGAGGCTGGGTGTGCTGATTCCAGCCCTGGTGGGGGTGCTTTCCTTGGTCCTGATGAGCCTGTTCCTGTGATCTCCCATGGTGGAAAGGCTTAATGGAAACTTCTGAGACCTTTTTCCTAAGGGAGCTGGTCCCACTTGCAGGAATCTGCTCCAATGACCTAATGAACTTCCAAAAGCATGATTTCTAAATATCACCATGGATTAGCTTTTAACACTTAAATTTGGCGAGACATCAACCATCATCTCTGTCTCTGGTCACCTATCTGCCTGAGGCAATTTACCTTTTTGAAACTGAGGAAAACTAAAAGAAAATTTTAAATTTCTTACAACTCCCTCAGGAATGGGAAGAGAAATTTTCATTTTGATTAATCAAAATATTTTATAAATCAGTTTAATTCTATTTCTCTAAAAAGAGGAAAATAACATTTATTTTAATATAAAAAATTGGATAGTACCAGATAACCACACTAACAGTTAGTTACCATGGCTACAAAGGGCTCACTGGAGGGCATATTAAAGATCATCACTGAAAATTTTTTTACCTTCTCCATATTTCTAGAAATGATTTGCAGCTGTTCTCATAATGCATGACTCAATTACAATAGCATTTCAGTCAGTTATTTGCAGATATGCAATTTTTTTTTTTTGGTGGTACCAGGGACGGAATTCCAGACCTTGTGCTTACCAGGTAGATGCTTATGCTGTTGAGCTATCTTCCTAGCCCTCAGTCCATTATTTGGAAACTCTTATACATTATCTCAGTTACTTTCTCTTGTTGCTGGGACAAATACCCGATATCCAAAATGAAGAAGGAGGGTATGGGGAGATGGCTCTGTAGAATAAGTGCTTGCCTGGCAAGTCTCCTGGTTCTGCAAAAAAAAAAAAAAAGGCAGAAAGAGATTTAAAAAAAATACAAAGGAAGGAAAGGTTTATCTGGTGCACAATTACTGGCAGTTTCAGTCCATACTCAGCTGGCTCTGAGGCACTGTGGCACGTGACAACGGTCAGCCTTTCATGGTGGTGGCAAAGAGCAGAGTGCAAAGGGAGGAGTAGCAGCAGCTCAAGCAGCTACTTTTCTTTCCTCCTAACATTGTAATATGAATTCCCTGCCCCAGGGCAGGTGCAGCATCCACACCCACAGCAATCAATCACAAACTCCAGGAGCTGCCCCAAGACTGTAGGAGCCCTTGGGGGAACACTAGATACAAACCATGACATACATAAACTTTACCTCAGATTGTAGATCCTTTGTCAGTGTCAGCCATGTGGATGAGTCATGGCCATCTGACTGACCTTATCAGATCCAAAAGGGACAACTTTTGCTGCATAGGTCTTGCTTTATCTTGGTCTTAATCATCCAGCAGAAAAGTATAAAAACAAAGTATATAAAGTAAAGCCATGGTGTTATGTTGAGCTGTAGGGGACTCTTGTCAACAATTCCTGACACTGCCAGTCAAGTGGAAGACCCAATACTATTATGGACTACTGGATTCTTTTAGAATATTTTGCTGAGACCTATAATATTCAAATGATGGAACTAAACAAAAAGGGGATACAGATGAATGTCCATTTTCAATCTGTGTAATCAAAATGGTTAGGATATGTATATAGTTACATTCTCTTAATTAATAGAGGGATTTGTTCTAATAGTATTTGTAAATAGGATATCATGTCTGCATCTTGTATAGCAAATAACCACTAGGAAGAGAGTATGCAATGTGTTAATTATTGGAACTGTCCTAACAATTTGAATTAAAACTGTCTCATTGCTATTTGTTTCTCAATAAAATTATGGAAAAAATTTTTAAAAAATACATAAACTTAAGTGATGCTGGGAACCTGTTCGTTATCCACGTTCGCTAACAGAAGGCTGTGCTGCCTCTGGCTCTGCTGGGTTACTCCAAGCATCATACTTGCTTAATCTTTGCTAATGGCATAGTGCTGTAACTTACCCAAGGGATCCTTTCCACCAACAGATCCGCTTCCTGTTTCCTTACAGATGCTGTTCTTATGTGGGTCGCAGGGGAAATGGACCTCAGGCCATCTCTATTGGAAAGAACTGTGACAAGTTTGGGATTGTTGTTCATGAACTGGGTCACGTGATAGGCTTTTGGCATGAGCATACACGACCAGATCGAGACAACCATGTAACCATCATAAGGGAAAACATTCAGCCAGGTGAGAGGCTCTGAGATACATGGAATTTTTTAAAAAAATCTTTATTTTTTATGTATTTAGTGCAGGGACTACAGGGTCTCACTACATAGATCAGTGAGCCCCGGGGGGCGGGAAGAGGTATTGGAATCGGCATGGCATGCCCAGGGATAGAACCCCAGTCCCTGAGTCTGCCTAAGTATGCTCTTTAGTCCATTGAGTTATCTGGCCGACCCTGAGATACAGTGAGTTTAAGGCAAAGTAAATGTCTTTGAATTATTATCATTTATCATCTAAAAAAATGTAAACTTACTTCTATTTGGTAGAATCCACATTTGCCTGACTCAAAATTTATCCTTGGTGGTTTTGTATTTTAAATTATTTCCTAGACTGGATAATCTCATATAATGTCTAGGCTTTTGTCTCTTTGTAAGATTTATTTTATTTCTAAATTATTGTGCATTCCAAGAATGGATAAGAACTATGGAATCAGACACTAGTGTTATTAAATCATTTTTTAATTTTAAGCGTTTTTCATAGTTACTATAGTTGTATAATATGTTATTGGGATGTTTACAGGGGGTCAGGGCTTGTCATGACATGCATTGTGACCATAGGAATGTGCTTTATCAGGTACAATTTCTGGTGAAAATTCCAATAGAATGAGTCATTTTCAGAGTAGTCTAGTTTTCTTTGAGATTTTTTTCTCTAGACTTTACTACCCTAAATTGTTGTTTTCAGTAGTAGAATCTTAAGAATATTTGTGGTAGATGAAATATAGTTTAGAATTAAAATCTAATTTTCTCCAATAGTTTGATCTGTGATAATCACCTCATTGCAAAATGCACTTGTTTAATTTTCACATTGATCAATGCATTTTAATCATCAAATTAATGTTGGAGCTTTCTTATACTATATTATTAGTTTAAAAATAAAGTACAACTGTATTGTTGTTGTTTTTTTAATCACAGCTAATTTTAAGTGCCAAACATTGATTTTCTGTAATCATTGAGCTCATTGCTTCATTGTTCATAGATGAAGTGTGAACAAGCAGGTTGGTCAGTAAATTAAACATTTTAAATTATTATGGTAAAAGACACCTTGCTGTTAATTCCCTATTAAACATACTTCCTTACTTGCAAGACACTTATTTCATTTTTTTTGCTTCTTTCCAAAGCAGTTCTAAAAGTCTTGTGAAATTTCACTAGTGTCTTTTTACAGCTTCCAAAAACATTGTGAATTGAGTCCAAACATTTATGATAGTTTCTGTTAAATAAAAAACATTATAGTGCACATTTATCTGTCCCGAACCAGCAGGTCAGTCAACTAAGGTCACCTGGGGGAGGAGCGGGGAATTGAAGAGGGGACAAAGGACAGGAGACGTGAGAAATGGAGACAAGACAGGATTCTGATCAAGTCTCGATTTATTCAGGGGAGGTGCTGGGTATATATAGTGGAGGCATAGGGAAATGACATCAGCGGGTAAAAGGCGCGAGTAACTAGGCAACCGGGCTATGACAGGAAGTCCCACCTCCTGGGCATAGCAGGAGACTTATGGGAAATAGGCAGGGTAAGAACTAGGAAACTAGCTCATCAGAGGTAGGGGAGGAGGAACCCGGAAACCCACTTGCAATAGGATTGGAGGCCTGGAGTTATTGTGCCTCCCACATTTATCTACCTCACTCACTAAATCTGACACTATGCAACCTCTGACTCTTTCTCAAAGTCAAATGGCCACGAGAGGTTGACCTTTGAATTCATTCAGCATATTTCAGCAGCTGGACAGTGTAGTTAAAGATACTCACGAAAGAGGATGTCCTGAAATGCTTCAGAAAGTGGCAAGAGTGATGGAGTGTGTTCAGAGTGGGAGACTATTTTAAGACCTGTAGCAATGTGTCTATTTGCTGTAATGATTTTTACTTTTAAATAAAGTATTCACTATTTTTTGATCACACCTCATACTTGGTCTACCAGCTAGGTACTGAATCATTGTTAGATACTGTCATGAAAAATGAAAAGCTTAGTGTTGGGTGGACATGTATGTATAGATCAAGCCAGTGACAAAAAGTAACAGAAGTTGTATGGGAGAATGCTGCAAAGGACCAAGCAAAAGTGTGATTAATGTGAGTTAGCAAGGGAGGGGAGGTGTCAAAATAAAACAAAGTTAGAAGTGAATAGAAATATTCTGGATAGAAAGAAGAGTAGTAAATTTTCTAATCTATAAAAACATGTTCATTTTCATCTCATGGTAAGTTATAAATGGAAGATTAGTTGCTAATTATCAGGCGAGATTAGATTGTAGAGAATCTTGTGTATGATTTACTCTGATTCAGAAACTTAAGATCAGATGTTATGGAAGAGAAATGTCTAAGAAACACAAACTTGGGCTTCCATTTTTATGTGAAATATGTGACTTTGATAAGAAATTGGTCTGTGGATTGGATTACTTTGATTTCTGTTAGACTATGCCTTCAACCCAGCAGCTTGCTGTTTAAAACAGTGTTTAGCATCCAGCATGTTTTGCTCTGGCTGTTCATTTTGCCCATTCTCTTTTCTGCTTCCTTGAAACAAGTCTACTTTACTTTTATTTGGACTATGGGATAGCCATATTCATTTTGCCTGGTATAAAGCTGTCTGTCTTGTGTGTAAGTGACTAGTTACATGTGCTCAAATGGATAGCTGCCTTTGCTATGTATCACTTCTGAAAAACTTTATGACACACTTTGATTTCATCAGAAAATCTGTTCCTACAGTGTGCTTTACATTGAAGTCTTATGGCTCAATAACTTTAAATGTGGTCACAGCTTTTTGAAAACCCCCACTTAGAACAAAGATGAGCCTTTTAACAGCTGCCTCTATTAAAGAGAATGCAGTATGCTTCTTGAAAGTGGTTTATGTCAGCTGCATCAGAGATTTTTGGAACACATACCTCACTATAGAGGCTTAAAAATGAATTTAAAATTACTGTTGTGTGAATTTGTTCAAAGATAGACAGAAATGCTTTAGTCTGGGTCTTGGGATCAGTAGTTCTGAGTTGATTTTCTCATCCTTCCTCATGTTTAAATGAATATATATTATCTTTCATGATCACGTGTAGAAAGATACTATATTTTATGGTATCACTCAATGTCTTTATTGCTTTAAGAAACTTTTTTTTGTTTGCTTTTTGCGGAACCAGGGATTGAACTCAGGCCTTTTGCACTTGTCGAGCAAGCACTTATTCTACCGAGCCATCTCCCTGGCCCCAGGAAACCTTTTATTAATGTGTTATTTTTATATTTATTAGAAAAATGAAAGTTAGAATAAAAACTTAGTAATTTTGAGACACATGAGTTATAGGAACTCTGTTTCAAGCTCCAGGTAGGAATCTCATTAGTTCACTTTTATTCTGATATTTCAAAGCATTTATTTATCTATTTATTTATTGTATTTTAGGGAAGGGTCTGAAAAGTGTTCTGGGTCTCACTACTAGTTTCGACTTGTAGTGATCCACCTGTTTACAGCCTGCCATATTCTGGGATTACAGGCACATAATCCCACCCAGTCTCAATCGCCATCTCAGAGCGCCCTGTGGGTGGGGCTGGCGAGGCAGGCCAGGGGATCAAACCCCCACCAGTGTGCCTGCTTGTAGGCACTTTAATCCACTGAGCTATTTGGCTGGCTCTTAAAGTATTTTAAATCACATATGTGATATGATGTGCTGATCTTTGGTGTCTTAAATTGTGAAAATGGTGATGCTGACACCTTAAACTCTTATTAGGAAAAATTGTTTGGTTTTGTTTTGGAGCCTATATGTTCCTTTTGTTTAATTTTAAGAAATAATTTTAGTGTATGGCACCAACAAGAGAAGAGAAATCTATTTAGAGTGAAGATTTCAGAAAATTTAAATACCAGTTGTAAGAGAAACAAATTGAGTTCTAAAGCATGTTCTTCATGATCAAATGTCTTGAAGTAGGACCTTCTTTTCAAGGGGAACCTTTTGAAGATAGTACGTTTGTTCCTGTTTTATCATTACTGAACAACACAGTGAAAGCCTGCAAGTTCAGTTTGTACTTAAAATTGTTTTGGTATCTCTCCATCGTGTTGCTTAGGAAGGACCCACAGCAAATAATGGACAATTTTTCTGGGTGTTGGCAAATACAGTCAAAAGAGAAAATTACAAAACCCCTCAGATGAAAACATAACTTTTATAAACATTTGTGCAGTGCCTAAATAAACACTATATTTTAAAGAAACAAATAATATGAAGTGACAAAATAGTATGCTTTAGCAGGAAGCAACTTTGCTCAGGTGTTGCTTGCTTTTTTCATATGATATTGGAGTGAAATCCTGCTTTTTATACCTGATTTTACCCTGAAGTTGGTATGCAAACACAACCACCAGGATAGTGATTCAGTAGTCTTTTATTTCAGTTAAAAGCATTCTGCAATTTATGTATCCCTGATTCTCAGGTCAAGAGTACAATTTTCTGAAGATGGAGCCTGGAGAAGTGAATTCCCTTGGAGAAAGATACGATTTCGACAGCATCATGCACTATGCCAGGAACACCTTCTCAAGGTTGGAGTCTCAGGTTATACCCTTTGACTTTTAATTCCTTTCCTCCATCTGACTTCTCACAAAACTCTGTTTGACATGAGAACTAGAGCCATTTTCAAATATATCTTCTATGGCAGAAAAGTAGAAGAGTCGTAATTTATATCCATAGCCAACAGACACAAAGATATTTTATATTTTGACATTTTCTACCAAATATATGAATTTAAAGTGATCAATACAATGGTATAGATTATGTAAAGACTTATATATTCCCCAATTATACAAAAGCCCCCCTCAAACTAGCTTGTTAAGTTGGCATAATGTTTAGTATTATCTAATGACATTTGATATTTGTAAGACAAATAAATTACTTAACCATTGAATTACAATGTCATATTCTCTATTTAACTTATATTTATAGTGTGCATTTTCATTTTTTTATTCAAGTACCACTTATGCTTAAAATGGACATGACTAAATAAATTGTCAATGAACAGATTAGGAAGATAATTTACTTTTGTGTCACCATAACTCGCCAATCATTGACCTTAAAATTATTCCATGAGTAAACCATTAGATTTTAAAGCTATAATAAATTTGGGTTGTGATTTATCTCATTCTAAAGATGAGGCCATCAAGCAAGTAATTCCCAGGTAAGGAATTTGAAATCATGTAAGCTCTGAACTCATTCATCCTTTCTTCCCATTGATGTGAATTTTCACTCATTAGGCTAGTTCAACTCATTCTTTTTATGCACTTGTGCCTATTTTTCAGTTCATTAGCATTTTTATTTATTTATTATTTTGGTGGCACCAGGGATTGAACTCAGGTCCTTGTGCTTTCCAGGCCAGCACTTATTCTACTGAGCCATCTCCCCAGTCCCTCATTAGCATTTTTAAAGGCAGGGGAGTAAAACTAATTCAAATGTATTTCCATTTTTAAAATTTTTAGTGAAAAACAGAGAAGGGTACCTAGAAATTGTTCCATTTTTAAATTATTCTTTTTCAAGAGCTTAAGTGCAAAAATCTGAGTCTTTTATATTTTTATATATATATATATATATATATATATATGTAATTTTTAAATACAGTCTATACTATGTATATCTAATAGCTATACAAATATTTTTCCTATAAATGACATTCAGGTTTTGTAAGAAGATACTCAGAATTTTGACCCAAAATTAATTTTAATAGGGTTATAAAATTTTATTTCTCTATCAATGCTTTGAAATGAGCATTTCCAAAGAAACCTATAAGAAATGGATGTTTGAATCCCAGTTTAGCAAAGGCTGATCTCCATACAACTGATTTTAATTATTCAAATTAATGTGAGGCTTGAGTCTTTGGAAGACAAGAGATATTTGAGAGTTGCAAAAAGGAAATGTTTTCTATCCATTACATGTGATAAAACTCTACTGAAGTTTGAAATATGTCCCTTCAGTCTGTCCACTTTTTTCCTAATAAACTACTCTGCTCTTAATGCCTGTGGCCCATCTCCCCACTGCCCACCTTCATGCGTGTGGCAACAAGCCTTGACCTATTATTCTGTGTTATTGTTTCAAAATTTTCCTATTAATTTTCATAAATATGTACTTCTAGATTACAAGAGAGTGAGCATATCGGCTTATCAGAAGAGAAAGAGTCCAAGTGACCCAATTCGTTTTATTTTATTGTTTTGAGACATTAAAGATATGTATGAACATATTTACATGACTGATTTCAGAAAATAAAGATGTTGGCACAGTTCTCAGCTTTATCCTCCAAAGTATTTGATGTTCTTTATTGTGATTGTAGAAAAATATAGTAAAATTTTAACGTTTTGAAAGGTTACAGTTTAATAGTGCTGACGTACATTCACACTGTTGTAAAACAGGTCTCCCGAACTTTTACATCCTTCAAAACTGAAACTCTATATTCACTAAACAATAACTTCCCTGTCTCCCCACTCCTCCACCCCTAGTAACTTTCAACCAACATTTTACATTCTATGACATGATTACTTTAGATGCTTCCTATAGCTGGAGTCATTTAGTGTTTTTCCTTTTTTGACTGGTTTATTTCACTTAGCATTGCTTTCTCAGGATTTATGCAGTATGTTCCACATGATCTGATTTTCTTGTATAATATTGACACATAATTACCACTATCTGTAATATAATTCTTTTTATTTAGCCCTGCCTTCACCTGTGGATATTTGGGTTGCTTCTGCTATTTGATTATTGTGCATAGTCCTATCATAAGCATAATTTTTTTGGATATCTACCCAGAAACAAGATTGTTGGGTTATGCACTAACCTCACTTTAATTTTTTGAACAAAGTTCATGCTTTTTTCCTTAGTGATTGTATCACTTTGCACCCCAGAAATGTACACAGGAGTACTGACTTTTGCTTGTCCTTCTGAACACTTTTTACTTCTAGTGTTTCATTAGTAATCATGTGGGAGTGAAGCACTAGGATCTTGCTTCACATTTCTATGATGATTAGGGAGCAAGGTTTTTTTTTTTTTTTTTTTCGGAACTGGACATTGAGCTCAGGTCCTTGTGCTTGCCAGGCAAGCACTTATTCTACTGAGCCATCTGCCCAGCCCCAGGGAGCAACTTTTAGTGATCAGTTGAACACCATTTCAAATTCCTGGTGATCATTTGTATATCATCTTTTGAGATGTGCTTATTCAATGCCTTTGCTCATTTTAAATCAGCTTGTTGATGCTTTCTCATTGAGTAGTAGGAGTTCTTTACATATTTCTAGATATTGTTTTCTAGATATATGATTTGCAAATGTTGTGTCCTGTTCCATAGATTGCCTTTTAATTTTGTTTATCATGTCAGGTTGATGCATGAAGTGTTTTAAGTTTCATGTAGCCCTGTCAATGTATTGTTAATTTCATTACTTATACTCTTGATGACAAACCAAAAGAATCACTGCCATATCTGGTATCATAAAGCCTTCTCCATTTTGTTTCTTTTTTCTTTTTTGCTGAACTGAGGATTGAACTCAGGACCAGTGCTTATTCTCCTGAGCCATCTCCCTGGCCCCCTTTATTTATTTATTTATTTATTTATTTATTTATTTATTTATTTATTTATTTAATTTTTTCCCTCCATTTTCTTTAGGAGTTTTGCATCTTATGTTTACATCTTAAATCCTTTTTTTTTCCCGTGGTACTGAGGGGATTGAACTCAGGACCCCGAACTTGCCAGGCAAACACTTATTCTACTGAGCTATCCCCCCGGACCCCTTAAATCCACTTTGAGTTAACTCTGTAAGATGGCATAAGATTAAGGACTTCCTTCTCTTGCTTGTTACACCAGAAACTGGCATCTGGTTTTACTGGCCCCATTTATTGAAAAGATTCTTTTTTTCCAAGTGAATGGTTGTGAAAGTTTTATTACAGATAATTTGACCATATATATGAGGCTTATTTCTGGGCCTCTATTTTATTTATTTGATCTTTAGGTCTGTGTTTATCACAATACTATATTCTTTTGACTATAGTTCCTTTGTAATATATTTTAAAATTGTTCCTTCAAAGTTGGAGTGGAACCTCTTCAACTTTGTTTTCTTTTCTTTCAGATACATGATGTTCTTTGAGATTTCACACTATCCTTTTTGTTTTTTATGTATTTAGTACAGGGTCCACAGGGTCTCACTGTATAGATTGGATTTGTAGTGATCCTCCTGTTTTCAGCCTCCTATGTGCTGGGATTACAGGCTTGTGCCACCAAGCCCAGTCTCAGTCACCATCTCAGAGCACCCTGGGGGCAGGGCAGGCAAGGCTATGGTACCTGTGAACAAACTCTGGCCCCTATGCTCTGCCTAAGCAGGTAGTTTAGTCCACTGAGCTATCTGGTTGGCCCTGCACATGGTTCTTAGGGTTATCATTTTTTAATTTCTGGGAAAAATTTCATTGGGATTTGGATAAGTATTTTATTTAGTGTAAGTAAATGTTAGATATTATTAATAATATTGGATAATATTAGTATGTTAAAAATACTAAGATTTTTGATCCATGAGGACAGGGATTTTTCATTTATTCGTTTCTTCTTTAATTCCTTCTTTTTCCTTTATGTTGTTTGTTTGTTTGTTTGATACAGGCTCACCATACATAGTTCAGGCAACTTGTAACCTCGCTCTGTAACCCATGCTGGCCCCAGACCTGCGATCTTCCTGCTCAGCACAAGTGTGCTTGGATGACAGGCATATACTGCTACAAATACAGGCTACTAAAGCTTTAATTTATTTCAACAATCAGTTTCTCTTCATTGTTCATCTTTCTCATTCTTTCTTAGATTTATTCCTAAGTCATTTTTATTCTTTTTGATGCTATTGCAAATGGAATATTTTTCTTCATGTACTTTTGGGATTCTGTTTGTTAGTGAATAGAAATGAAATGACACTGGCCTTATATCCCACATTGCTGGACTTGTTCATTAGTTCTGGTGTGTGTGTGTGTGTGTGTGTGTGTGTGTGTGTGTGTGTGTGAATGTGTATGTGTGTTCATGCGAGAGAGAGAGAGAGAGAGAGAGAGAGAGAGAGAGAGAGATCTACATATAAGATTACAGCATCTGCTAACAGAGATAATTTGACTTCCTCTTTTCAGTTTGCGGTCCTGTTATTACTCTCTTCTCCCTCTGTCCCCACCACTCTGCCTTTATCTTTCTTCTTTTTTTCATTTATTACCCTTTTTTTTTTAAAAAAAAAAACAAACATTTACTTGAGAGACAGTATGGCAATAATTGGTATGTCATGACAAGTAGTACGTATTTAGAAGATCAGAAAGACAGGCATTCCAAGCGTGACCCTTCTATTACATATTTGCTATCTTCAGTGCAGTTTCTTAGTTTACAGGTATCTGCATATATAGTTAGTCAGGGTGAGAATCTTACCAATTAACTGCTAGTTTCAAAAACCTGCTGTTTCTCAGGATCATTGCCTTGCCCATCTTGTGTGTATAAATGTATGGCTTTGCCCCTGTCCTGTTTCCCAGCTTTTTCCTTGCCCTGTCCTCATTGTCCAAT